AAGGGCGAACATGTTTGGTGTGACGGGATTCGAACCCGCGACCCTCAGATTGCGAGTCAAGCGCCCTAACCACCCGGCCATGCCGGGCCTGGCTTACAGAGAAAGGTCATTTTCCTTACATCCACCATCTACCAAGGACTAGTTTTATGGAAACTGTAAGATAGAATTTAAAACTTGTTTGGCTATATCTATTATATTAAATTGAGGGGTTAACTTAAATAGAAAGCCCGGTAATGTTTAGGATATCAATTACGATATAATCATGATTTAACGAGACATAATATGAACTAAAGATTTATTTCGTCAACTTTGTTACTCTTAATGTCGAATTGGGAGGTTAATTTTAAGTAGAAAGCCTGATACTTTTTAGGATGTCAACAATGAGAATATAATCAAAACACACTTCACAAGGAGCCTGAAGTGAAGTTTGTGTCGTTATTTCAAAATATGGGGCGACATTTGAAGTTACTAAACTCGGATTATATGTCCCTATAGCGCAGTGGATAGCGCGTTGGATTTCTAATCCAAAGGTATCGGGTTCGTTCCCCGGCAGTGAAGTGAAGTTTGAATAAGTTTGTGTCGTTATTTCAAAATATGGGGCGATATTTGAAGTTACTAAACTCGGATTATATATCCCTATAGCGCGTTAGATTTCTAATCCAAAGGTACCGGGTTCGTTCCCCGGCAGGGATGCCACCACCATTTCCTGGTCCCAAGTCCAGGCTGAGAAAGTTGAGCTAGCAACTCCGCCCCGTAAAAACCAACCTGTTAAAAATTACTGCAACAACAACTTCCGTTGGCGAGGTGTTGTTGGGGGCCCTATGCTCCAGTGGGATCTACAAGGATTATTATTGAACTCGGACTATACTTATGAGGAAACGGTAAAAATTCAATATATTTCATTGGTTCGTTCTTTCTTGTAGCATTTTAAAGATCACTTGTATAGAGAGAAAGGATGGAATATAAAAATATAAGTCGGAGAGTAAAATGGTACAGACTGATCTTATAAGTTTTCTTTTTATTATTTATTCAAAATTAACGATTATATCAAAGATAAATCGATTTTGTGACCCCCTTTAGACAGTTGCCGGTCTTGACCACGTTTCGGAGTGTCCCCCCCCCCCGGTGGGACAGCGGTAAGTCTTCGGATTTACAACGCTAAAATCAGGGGTTTGATTCCCCTCGGTGGACACAGCAGATAGTCCGATGTGGCTTTGCTATAAGAAAACACACACACACACGTTTCGAAGTTCGGTATATGCTGATCAATTAGATTGAATAGCTTAAAAACTTCCTTGCCAGCATTGCTAGGAGATTAATCCTTTAGTTTAGATGGCGAGCTACATCGATGACCATAGGAACAATGTTATATATATATATATACTTTCGGCTATCTACGAACTTTCTGCTTGCCAAACTGATAATTTTCAACTTCTGGCTTCTTTCTCTGTTTATAGGATGTTCATCATTCGTATTCTTATCGTAAGTTAGTAACCAC